TTTGGGACAAAGAGAAAACAGTGGCCTCTATGTCATGAGACAGTATTCCCACACGGGTCAACAGCTTGTGTGTTGTTATTCTTTTGGTGCACTTTCAAGGTCCAAAACATTCTCTTTTTTTCCACCTTAGCCTTTTAGCTAGCGGAGCAGGCAGTTTATCATGACACAGCGATATCTGATGCCTTTGCAGAAATACTTTCCTTTCTTGCAGGAAGGAATTCACTAGGCCTTTAATCATAGCAAGAGACTCAACTGACAAATACATATTAGAGATGGCTTGGAGCTGCATTTTTCCCACTTTTATTGTTGTTCCTCTACATGCCCATGCATAACCTTGAGAAATGGAATGGTCTGCACTGTTAAATGGAACCATATTCTTCATCGGCAAAGAGAGCAATGTGAACTGAAAACGATCACATAATGTGCTTTCAGATAGCATCTCTGAAAGGCATTAAGGTCTGGCCAGCATGTGTCTCATATTATACCAAGGAAAAAAAAGAAGACAAAATGCGCCTATTTTAAAGGCCTTGCTTCATGTATGCTGGAGAGTCAGCTTTTGAAAAAAAAAAAAGTGCTTAAAAGAAGAATATAGTTTTGACAGCAGACCTGCTGCTAAAACCTCCTAAGAAATGTCACAGATCACTCCCCTGCTTCTGCGATGTACATTTATGAAGTAAAAGAACTAAAAATATGAACACATTGTACTCAGTAACTACTGTCACCTGACATGTAAGGAAAATAGTTGGGTATTTATAGCATTGAGCTAGCAAAACAAATATTGGACTGAGACTAAAGATTCTGCAGCAAAATGATCACCACCCATCTCATTTTTGAGACATGTATCAAGGTTTATTTAGCGTTTTCCTATCTTTGAATTTTGCCATTTTGGTTTGCAACTCATATTACCGATCAGTACAAACGCACTCAGTGTTCGTCTATGTCACTTCATAGGAAAAGAAACAAGCGACTCAGGCATTAAGACGGGAATTGTGAGCTGTCTGATCTACCTTTGTGCATGTCTGGGCCACCATAGAGTTGCGCCCCCTGCTTGCCTCATTTCCTGGTCTGCATGAAAGATCACAAGCCTGGGCCCCTTTAGGCCTGCTTGGCCCACAAAAATCCCCTCCTAATCCTGATGCTCGGCCACAATTAATCTTCCGGGTTGCCACATTATTAACAGCACCACCCGCAGATGATATAGGGGGTGCTGGATGAGAACAAGGGAGCACTACTTAGGTGTGGCGAATACTAGATGGAGCTTAGCACTCTGGCTGTGGTCCTATGGGACATTAGTCACCTTGTTTTCAGTGCTGAAACCAACTCCACCCCAGTGATATGACACCACTACTTTACCTCCTCGCTCTAATGCCTGCTGATCACACAGCTGACCCATAGGTGGCTGTTGTAACTCCAACTTCCACTTGTCTCGATCTTCCCCTTTAAACCCTCAGATCTTCATCATTAGCCCTTGACATTTGCACTCAAGCATGCATGTGAAACAAATGGAGGACGATTTTTCTGTACTTGCTACGAGAGGATTAATAGCTTCATGTTTTAGCACTTTAAACAAGTGTTTTTTTCCACCAGTATTTCTAAACTGGCTACTCATAAAACATGGTCCATTACAAAGAAAATGCAAAAAGAAAGAAACTCTGATTAAACTAATAATAGAAAACTTTTGGTGCCTTTATTAAACATATTTAGAAAGTAGGTTGGAGAAACTAAGTGAACCCCTATTCTAATGCTGCTCAGAGTTTGGTGCTCCAATTACTGTAAGGAGCTGTTTGTTATAAGGTCACACAATGTCTGTACTGACAAAGTCTGCTCTTCCTAAAAAGACTGACGTGAATCATACCTCAAGGAAAACACATTTAAAGCATTTTATTGATGCACAAAGCTGGAAAGGGCTGCTCATCAAGAAACAATAAACAAGCTGGCTACGATTGGAGATTATTCAGGATTGTTGCTTACTCTCTATGCAAGTATGTGTCCCGCAGTGTTCAGACCAAGAGCACGATATGCAATCCTGGAAAAGGTGAAAAAGGACCACCAGGAGGTATCTCTACAATTTGTTAAATTTCTAAGATAAGCACTGAGTAAGACAGGTGGCTATTGAAGGAAGCTATTAAGCAACCTACCATTTTGCAGACACATATAAACAAAACAAAGCTCAACACTGTGTGTTTCACAAATGAAGCAAAAACACTTCAGGGTCAATGTAAAGTGGACTGTTGAGACACAAAATGCTATGTTTAGAGGAAAGGGGGTGTCGCACATTACCACCAAAGCATTCAAATGTGAAGTCTGGTGAAGTGAGCGTCGCTGTTCTGCAGCTACTGAGAGAACAGTACAGAAAACACAGGGCAGCAGTCCAGGGAGCTTAGAAGAGATCGGACTGAGGTGAAGGTTCTACAAGTTTCTAATTTCTAATTTTTCATCCCTGCGCTGTGAGTGGTCAAGATGTACGAATCAAAATTTTTAAAATCCAAATGTCATTTAAGTTTGAAATTATGACTGCGATGTAGACATGGGGCACCATTTTCTGATTAATTAATGCAGGAATCCTTTATATTACAAAGGGTTTGCAAACTTTCTGTCAAATCAGAAACCTCCTATGTACTAAACATGCGACCTGTCCCATCGTGTCCTTTTCACATTTTCAAAACAAGGACTTCATTTACACTCCATCTCCCACTGTTCCCTCTTTCCTGTATCATTTCTTTCACTCCCTCTGGCTCTTTGGCTTGATTTCTCCAGCTGTACCTACACTGAACAGAGGGAGGTGCTGCTGTGTTGTCTATGTAAGATGCTCCTGGACGCCCTTCTTCTCTCTCCTCTCTCTGCTGTCCAGATTAGTCTGCTCATCAAGCTGAGCATTGTTTTAATTTGCTGGGCCCGGGGCATATGCTGAGTGTTCACATCATTATTGTCTCTGTGCAATGTGAGTTATCACCACAGCTTATGATAATGTGGCACAAATTTACAGGCTTGGGAGCACCACGGATTCCGTGATAATAAAGGGTGGACAGAGGGGAGTGCAAAGAGGGAGAGAGAAATGAAGAAAGTGTGTGTAGATGTATGTGTGCGAGCGGGAGAGTGGAATAGGTAGAGAGAGGAAGCTCCGTTGGATGTCATTATGAAAGATGATTCCCATACTAGATAATACATCACACCAGTGCTGTCTGTCTTCTCCTTTTCAGTGTTGTTATGTGAATAAATGCTGATAAACCCAGAGGCAATAGTGATTATTACTTCCAACATATCATCATGAGAGAGAGGGGAGGAGGAAGACAGGGGAGGGATGGAAAAAGAAGAAAAGCAAGTCACAAAGAGAGCCACATGGAGCACATAACCACCTCCACGGTGGGGATCTTCAAAATGTAAGACACTGAAAAAGTGAGTCAGGGAAGCCTGACGCAAATCTAGTTGTTTTTCACATGCAACTGCCACAAAGTTTACAAAGTTTCGCAAGCTTGGCTGCGGATTAGAGATCTTGATGGGCGTTACGTTACAGTACATTATGAAGATATTAGTTCATCTAGAAGATTTCTCTCAAATCTGACGCCGGCCATCGCGGTGAGCACATAAAGCAACCGTGTTGCACCATGTCTTACACACTGTTTTCCTTTCTGGCGATCTGTCTCTGAAGTCTCCCTTTGACCAGCTCATCCTGACACAGCTGGTTCCTGCCTCGCCTCACCTCACCTCTCTCCTTAAGACTGACCAGCAATACAATCTAATTACAGCCGCGCTACAGAGGGAGACCAGTGTAAACACCAGCCCTTTTTATCTCCTTATACATCTGGACAAGTAGACAAAGTGCTAAAAGGAAATAAATGTGGCCTGACAGCCACATCAAAGAGTTCAGCCAGAGGCTTACTGCTACTTAGGGCACAGGAATGTTGTTGCTAAGCATCAGCCCGCAACCTATCAGGGTGCAAAGAGGGCCCTGTCCTGCCTTACAGAGGGAAAAGGGGAAAAGAGAGAAATGAAGAGGAGAGAGGGGAAGGGAGGGCGAGGGGAGGGGAGGGGGCTGACATTGAGGGGAGGCTAGGGACTCAAGGAGATTTTTGTAGCTTAAAGCAATTGTTGGAAGAAACAAGCCTTCTGTTTTGTTTTCTCTTGACACCATTTCTGCTTTTTGTGCTTGCAAAAGACATGTATAAAAATGTCTTTTGATATGTTTTCTCTTTGGGTCTATATCAAAATATTTCTTTTGTGTCTGTGCATGGAACTTTTTTCACATCTTGTCTCTATAAACTGGTGCAGCTTTCTGAT